GTGTACAGAGAGGGGCCCGCACTCTGCTCTTCTCCAGGTGCAGGGTGTGTGTACAGAGAGAGGACACACCAGGAGCATGGCCACGTGCAAGATGTGTGCTTACAGAGAGGGGACAGGCCAGGAGCATGACAGTGTGCAGGGTGTGTGTACAGAGATGGGCCAGGCCAGGAGCATGGCCAGGTGCAGGGTGTGTGTACAGAGAGGGGACAGGCCAGGAGCATGACAGTGTGCAGGGTGTGTGTACAGAGAGGGGACAGGCCAGGAGCATGGCCAGGTGTAGGGTGTGTGCTTACAGAGAGGGGACAGGCCAGGAGCATGGCCAGGTGCAGGGTGTGTGTACAGAGGGGACAGGCCAGGAGCATGGCCAGGTGTAGGGTGTGTGCTTACAGAGAGGGGACAGGCCAGGAGCATGGCCAGGTGCAAGGTGTGTGTACAGAGGGGCCAGGCCAGGAGCATGGCCAGGCACAGGGTGTGTGCTTACAGAGAGGGTTAGGCCAGGAGCATGACCTATGCTTGAGCACAGTTTCGTGATTATGATCCCTGGGGTATGGTCTTCTGATGAAATCTGTCATTATGTAGGCCTTCAAAATACTTGCTGATAGTGATATGTCATTTTTGTTCATTGATTTAAGTGTTTGTACTTGGATATTGAGCAAGTATTCTTAGATTTGATATTCATTGAAGTATCGAGTCTGTGGTATTGAAATTGCCAGTGCTTGCTTTAGCTCGGTTCAGGGAGAAGCATGTCTGTAGCTGCGGGGTCTACATGGCTCTGTGGCTCTCACCCCACATTACAGGAGATCTGCAGACATCAGAGTTATCTACACTCAGGGTGATGCCGACCTGATGTTTCCGATTCATGTGGATGGCTCTTACCTGGGGCATATTAGGAGTTTTGCTTCCTCTAACACCTGTTAACCATGAGGCCTCGCAGTGACCATTGTATTCAGGGCCTGGGAGGCGCAGAGCAGAGCTGGTGGAGCTGAGAGTTCCTGGTGAGTGGCCCTGGCGGGGCTGCGTGGTAAGGGTTGAGGTGGGCTTGCCAGGCGTCATTCTTACACCCAGACAGGTGTGTGGCTATCAGGACCCTCTGGAAGTGGTGCTGGCCCACTCTGGGGCAGGCGGCTTCAGCAAGAGGTCCAGAGCCAGGTGGCATTTCTGATGTTAGTGCCTCTCCATCCAGCAAGTCCCAGGCTGCTGGACAAGCCATTCCACACCTGCTGAGTGGGAGCCAGGCCTGGGTGTGACATCCTCGACCACCCTGCTGGGTCTTCCTGACACGCTCCTGTGCTGGAGGGAGGCGGAGCTCTTGTCTTCGGTGTGTAGATTTCTGGTGTGGCGGCACAGAAGGAGACAAAAGAAGCCCTGAGGAGGATGGCAGAGGGCTAAGGGCCCACTCACGGTGAGGAAGCGTGCGGTGTTATGGCCCACACACACAGCCTGTGTGGGAACCGCAGGGCTCTGTGACATCGTTTGGAATGGCTCATCTTAGGAAATGTGGAACAGCCACTTTGGTTTGGCTTTGTTTTGGCTTTTCTGCGTATGACATTTCCCCCCTAGGTCCTACCAGTAAGGTTTATGTACCGTTTTTATTCTTTTGGCAAAGTACTTCTCCTTTCTGCCTTAGGCCCTCTGTTCAGTACCAGTGACTCCATCAGGAGGCAGGGGCCTGACCTTGACCTCCCACACTCCGCGGCGTTGCCTGGTGAGTGCTGCAGCGACGGAGCCGCGGCCTGCTCTGCGTGGGAGGCCACATGCACCGAGGGAGGCAGGGACGTGAGAACCAGACCCACCTGGACCCGAGTCCAGCTCTGACCCAGCGCCTCGGTGTCCCTGGGAAGGCTGCTCAGGTTCTCTGACACTTGCAATCATCATCATCATCATCTTTTATATTTTTACTTATTTGAAAGGCAGATAGGGACCTCCTACTTACTGGTTCACCCCCCAGATGTCCACAACAGCCTAGGCCGGGCCAGGCCAGGATTAGGCCAGAGCAAGGAACTGGGACTTCAATCCAGGCTCCCATGTAGGTGGCATGCAGGATGCTGGAACTGGGAGCAGGGCCAGGACGCAGACTCAGGCCCTCTGACCTGGGACTGGGACACTGTGAGCAGTATCTTAACTGCTGCACCGAGTGCCTGCCCCACGGAAGCATTGCTCTCAATCAGGCTGGCAGTGCCCATTTGGGAATATTGTGATGGGGATTTAAGAGACGTGAGTCTTCAGCTGCCAATGAAAGCTGTGGCTGTCCTTGTCTCCAGGGTGGATAATGTGCAAAGAGGATCTGGAGCCCAGAAGGGCAGGCTGTCTTTACTGGTGGGTGGTCTGTTGAAGCACACGGGTGACATGCCCTTAAGGTAACATCCACGATTGGACTGGCTCTCGACCACCGCACATTCATCCCCCAAGGACTCTGTGACAGCCCCCCTGTTTCTCAGGGGGCCCAAGATGTTCAGTTTTAAGCCCTTTCCTGAGAGCTATGGCCACTGAAGACTTTCTCCAGCAAGCAGAGTACAGTGCAGGCAGGCACAGTGGACATGCCCGCGATGGCCGTGGGTAAGTGACCCAGCCAGTGCCCCGACAGCTGGAGTGCAAGGCGCAGGCGCCAGCATTCACCATGGACATGTGACTGTGCCTAGCCCACCCTTTATCTTTTATTTTTTTTAAAGATTTATTTATTTGAAAGTCAGAGTTACACAGAGAGAGGAGAGGCAGGGAGAGAGAGGTCTTCCGTCTGATGGTTCACTCCCCAGATGGCTGCAGTGGCCAGAGCTACGCCGATCCAAAGCCAGGAACTTCTTCCGGGTCTCCCACGCAGGCGCAGGGGCCCGAGGACTTGGGCTATCTTCTACTGATTTCCCAGGCCACAGCAGAGAGCTGGATCAGAAGAGGAGCAGCCAGGACAAGAACCGGCGTCCATATGGGATGCTGGCACTTCAGGCCAGGGCGTTAACCCATTGTGCCATAGCACCGGCTCACCCTTTATCTAATAGCCACCTATACATTTGCCAACAACATCAGGAAGACGGCAGTGTAGTTGTTTGGGAATCTTGGGTTGGCTCTTCATAAAGCAAGTATAGTACTGTGGTGTAAAAGGACTGTAGTCTGCCAGGGTGTGCACACACCGGGTGTGAGAGCGTGAGGCCAAGACCCAGGGCAGCTCTGCTTCTCGAGTTCCTCATCCTGTCACCCTGCATATGTCTTAGAAATGTTCCCTTCTGAGGATGAAGCGTGGAGGACAGAAATTTGGCTATTTCTAAAAGCCATTGTTTTAGGAGAGAGGCATTGTGTTTACATAAAATGTAAGGAAAAGACAGCTTGTTTTATGATGCGGTTTTGATCTACATCATAGTGTACTTAGCAGCCAGTGGTCTCTCTGGGGTGCCTTTGGGAAGCAGATCTTCTGTGAGGTATAAATACTCAGCACCCAGCACACCCGATGCGCAGAAGTCATTCAGGTGTGTAATGAGCTGTGCACTGCGCACACAGAGCCTGCACTGACGGGAATCCCAATTACCACAAAATTGAATTCTTGACCTCCCGGTGCAGGAGTCGTGATGCTGGGCGTGACCGTGTCTCCCCTTGGAGCCCTCACCCAGTGCCTGCCCGCCCCTGCTGCTGTGGCTGCTGCAGCCTGCCTTCCATCTGAGCCCGTGACCCTCTCGGGAATGCTGGCCTGCTGTGCTCGGCACTGCAATGGGAGGGATTTCCCAGGAAGCAGACAGAGCCTCATTTTCAGCCTGTCTTCCTAGCAGACAGAAAGCCAAGGGTGGCTCCAGGGCTGTGTGATTCTCTGGATTCTGGCCTCTTTCCTCACTGTTGGCCAGTGGTAGCATGGGCAGGTCATGCCAGTCCTCTGTGTCCTTGCTTTGTTCTTTGCTTGGGTGGTGTGTCTGTCCATACCTGCTGACAGATGCGGTCTGATGGCAGTCCTGTTACAGCAAACCTGCCCAGATCCACCGGCATGGTCAGACCTGGCTCCTGTAGTCAGGACAGTATGTCTATGTCCTCTTTCCTTCTGCCTTGCGTCCCCACCCTCTTCCCCGTTGCTCACGCTGGGAGAGCTTCTGGGTATCTTACCTGCAAGACAGTGGTCAGAAGCAGATGGCAGGCAGGGGTCTTGATAACTCCTGTCTTCAACATCAAGGGACTTGGCCCAGCACACAGCATTCTCCATGGTGTTTGCTGAATGAATGGTTGAGCAAATGCACACTCTGGTGCCCATCCAGCAAGGGGTTCACCTGCTCAGTCCCTGAACGGCTGCCCCAGCAGGCTCTGCATTGTGCAGCGGCTAGGCTGCCATTTGTGATGCATCCCATGTCATCCCCAGTGCAATTCCAGTTGCTCCACTCACAGTCCAGCTCCCTGCTGATGCACCTGGGAAAGCAGAAGATGGTCAAAGTACTTGGGCCCTTGCCACCCTAGTGGAGGACCTGGATGGAGTTCCTGCTTCCTGGCTGTTGCAGCCGTCTGGGTACCAAACCACCAGATAGACGATCTCTCTCTCTCTTTCTCTCTGTCACTCTACCGGTCAAATAAATAAATAAATCTTTAAAACAAAACAAAACAGAGGCCCCTCCCCAAGGACTCATGCTGGAGGCGGGCGGGGAGCGGGGAGCTTTTCCCGCCTCCTTCCTGCTTGGCTGGGTTATCTACATTCCGTGGCCTCTCCCCAGATTCACTTGCAAAACTTCAGAATGGTCTTTGTGCCGCACTCCTCACAGTGGCTCTCTAAGGAGTCCTCTTCTCCCATCCCAGCTGCATGTTTGATGTGGATGAGACGGCAGCAGAGGTACCCAACAGCGAGGAGAGGGCGCACACGTGAGAGCTGCAGGGAGGAGGTGCCCACGACCTTGAGACGCTGTCTGCCTTTC